TAACAGGAGGCGGCGTGCACAGCAGGCCAAGAGAAACACTACCCACAGTACCATTTGGTGGCGGTCCCATCATGCTGTGGGGCCATGGGCCCAGTGCCGGTACTGGGAATCTCATTAAAGTTGAGGGTCGCGTGGATTCCAGTCACGGTCCAGAACACCTTCAACCAGCATCCAGACTCATTGGAAGCTACAGGAAACCTTCAGAGGCTGTTAATGCTGCAAAGGTCGGATCTAAATACTGATTTTTCTGTTGCGGTGCCCAAATCTCTGCACCTGCCTGATTTAGATCAACTGCTGCAAACTTCCTGTGGATCCTATAAACTTCATCTCACGTCTCAAACATCGTTTGTCTGCAGTGACACATTTAAACGAGACTGTTGATCCAAACAACCGATGATGTATGAAGAGACGCCTGCAGGTGCGTGAAGCTCCCGCTCAGCGTCACCTGTTGGTCATGAATCTGTTTCCTGTACAGGTTTAGTTTAATATTGATCATCTGCTTCTATTGATTACATTTATGTTATTATTATTGTAACAGACCGATGCCGGTCGTCCATATTAAATGTCAGTTGAAAGTGGGAGGAGCTAAAGCAGCTTGTTTCAGAGGATGAGATAAAGAAGGATTATTCTGAGCTGTGACTACAATTAAAAATATTAATAATAAATATATTATTTATTATATTATTTATTATATTATATTTATATTATATTTATATTATATTTATATTATAATATTTATATTTATTATATTATATATTTATTATATTAATTATTATTTATTTATTAAACAATAAAAATATTGTTTTGTTATCCAGGTTCTGTTCCTGCGAACTCGTAGCTTAGCGACAGTTGGGCCACGAGGGGCGTGAGGTCACGACCATGTGACCTGATGGTGCTTTCTCCCAATGAGCCGCAATCTATAAAGTCATTAACAGGAAAAATGCTCTGCACCATTCTAGTGATGCTAGCAGTCTCAGGAGCAGGGGCGGGGCCTATCAACGCCATGGTGGGGGGAGGTGGAGCTTTTAG